TGAAGAATCCGCCTGCAATGCGGGAGACCTGGGTTCATTTCCTGGGTTGGGAAGATCCCCTGGAGAAGGGAAAGACTATGCACTCCAGTATTCTGGCCTGGAGAATTCCATGGACTGTACAGTCCATGGGGGTCGCAGAGTCGACACAACTGAGTGGCTTTCAGTTCCTCAACCAGGGATTAAACCTGCACCCTCAGAAAGGACAGTACAGTCTAACCACTGCTGGACTGCCAGGGAATTCCTCTTTGTTTAAACCACTTGTCATATTTTCTATTGCATATTTCTCACAGCATTTCTAACTACTTTCTTACAATATAGATCAATAGTTCCTTTGTAGTCACTTCCAGCTTTTTTCAACCCCAAATGAAATCATTGCAACTGCTAATCAAGTTAATACAATTATTTAAAAATGTGTACAATAAGCCTTACCTATATGTTACTGTAGTAACAGCAGAATATATCATCACCTTTGCTTTATAACAGCAAATCAAAATTCAGCAGCATTGTGACTAATATTATATGACACTGGCAGGGTTAGCATGTGCATTATTAATCTTAATTTTCCAGCTGGTAATTTTCTTTTGTAAGAATTCAAGAAGCTAAATTACATACTTTAGATTCAAATAAGGTTAAAGCAACTAAGTGTCAACAATCAATATAAGAGTGTGTAGAAATTTTATTGATATATTTCATAGAAATTTAACAAATTATATTAATACATGCTCTTATTAGTTTAACAAAACTTCCAGTTTTACATATTGGCTCATAAAAGAAATACAAACTTCTTAAAAATAAAATCTATATGTGGTATACAGCTTTTATTGAATTCCAAGGAATGAATTTTTATTTAACCATACATGTAAAATCTTTGGAAACAACAAAACAATAAATATATTATTTCAATTTCCTGTGCTCTGGGATTAATCTAATGTCTCTTCTAAGCTCCGATCCTACCATCCCCTCCTTCTGAAAGTTGAAGAAGACAGGTATGGGAGACAGACTGGATAAGTAATTATATAACACAGGGTCTAGGTCAAGTCTCCTAGCTTCCCTGGATTCTGTTAATTTATGCATAGGGTTGTGATGTCCACAGTATCCACTTAATTAAAAGAAACTGGATTTTAACAACTGATTCAAATGATGCAGCGTGTTCTTAAAAGTAAACAGGTAAAGCTTTTACCTACATCGAAGGGGATTACTCATACGTAAAAGCTCAACAGGCATTAGGAGTTTGCATTGTGCAATGTTTCCTATGTTCTCCAGAGGCAACCTCAATTACAGAGTTTTTAGCTTGAGATATTAATTTAATTCAACCTGAGTGTTGATAAAATGTCCTTCAGTTAGGAAGGAAAAAGAAAAGAGGAGAGAAAAGAAAGGCCGTTTTTTTATTGGGATATATTTTTACATATAGAAATTTACAGTTTCAAATACATCCAACCTCAGTGAACAACAAAATGAAGAGAATTTTAACATGAACAATCTGTCTTTAGCAGCTAGCAGTTTATATTCCACATAACTGCAGAACACTAAATTCTCATAATTATTACTGCTGAGTATTCTGTTAAACTTCAATGATTAACCAAAGATTAACAATACAAATTAACATTTCATGCAAAAGTATCACTTATGATAAATTATCTTCTTGTATGAAACTAACTTCCTTAAAAAAATAGGTATCATGTACTGAAAACAGTACTATGCCAAATATCTCCTACATACACGTGTTTCTAATACAAACTAGGTATAAGCTAGAGAAAATAGTCAACCACATTACTACAAGGCAGATTATATTCTTTCATTTCATCAACAGCCCTATGAAAAGTTTGTTATCTTTAAAGGGAAATATTTTGGGCTATCATTTTCATTTTATTGACAATTGATATTTATTTCTAACTGATTTATTTCTAATGTTAAGAAGTTCACTTTTAGCAAGCACTGAACGCTTCAGAGACCAGAAAAGATTTTGTACTTGAGAGTGATTCTAGGAAATTCTCTACTATGTCTTATAGAAAGACAAATTAATATGTAGATTAATACAGAACTATGTATTAAGTTATTAAAATTAACTTGACATGTGGCTAGCCCAAATTAGTAAAATATACACCAGAAATCAAAAAATTAGTACAAAAGAATGTAAGCTATCTTAAAAGATTTTTATAATGATTACATGTTGAAATTACAATATTTTGGATATGCTGAGTGAAATGAACTATACTATTAAAATTAACTTCCACTGATTCTTTTAATTTTTTCATGTAGCTGCTAGAAAAATGTAAATTATATCTACAATCATGGCTCACATTATTTTTCTATTCTATGGCACTGCTACAGAAACAGAAGATTCTATTACACGTGTTAATATTAATCCCAACCCACACTGTTAAATTTCATATCATTATTGTATTTGACATATGTAACTTATTATCACAAGGCTCTTGAGCTTGGAATCAAATACACCTCTACTCTTGAGTACAAGACCAAACAAAACCTGCTCTTTTTCATCATCATCTGTATACTAACAACTGTGCTAAACTCTGTTTATGTATGATTCAACGAACAGGTAAAAGAGATCCTGTGAATGACAGAAATGTTCTAAAACTGGACTGTGGTAATAGCTTCACGTCTAGAAGTGCCATCCAGAAGCTGTATGTAAACTGCAGGTAATTCAAATATGCTCCTTCAGTCCATCAGATGGTTCAACATTGTGAATAAATTTTTCCACGAGGGTTCTGTTACCTGCAAGGATCCTCATTCAAGAGTGGATTATGGAATCACTAGTTGGAGGTATAAGTTATAAAAACCAAGAGAACACAGAGTAGCTGCGAGTGGACAGCTTATTTGCCTTCAGCAGTGCCCAGCTTAGGCAATGACAGCCCTCATAGTAATGTACATCTTGTTGCAACCTTACCCAATCTGGGCACCCTATAACTGGACACCTGCTGGTATTCTGCCATGCTAGACAGAACAGTGGAGTATAAGGAACCCCCTACTCTATACTATTAAAACCAAATAAAAGACAATAGATTAAGTCAAAATTAACATCTAACAATTTCTAAGGGAAGCTGAAAGTTAAACTGCTCAGTTCTCTTTCCTTATTGCAAGAAAAAGAAGTAGCAGAGGAATTCAACAACTCAAAAATTTGGGTAGTCAATCTGGAAAAACATTGGTGATTAATAAATTTCAAGTTAAGAATATAACATCATTTTTTGCATTGCTTCTATCAGACCTTGAAACAAATTATTTTTAATCTAAAATCTGTGAGATTATTCACTATGGATATAATGGTACTGCCACCTTTTGTTTTGAACATTATCTCCAATAGCAAAAAAATAAAAATAAATCAGCTCTACTTTTTCTATTTTCAAATGGGTCTGAAGAACTATGAGTTATGCTTTATTTAACAGTCAGGAAAACATAGGAAAGTAAAATACAGATCACGCCTTCATGCAGTTGAACCATAATATGTTTTCGTGCTTCTCATGGTCTAAAGCGAAAGTGTTGTTCAGTCATATCACTCTTTGCAACCCCATGGACTATAGCCCACCAGACTCCTCTGTCCACGGGATTCTCCAGGCAAGAGTACTGGAGTGGGGTTGCCATTTCCTTCTCCAGGGGACCTTCCTGACCCAGGGACTGAAGCCAGTTCTCCTGCATTTCAGGCAGACGCTTTACCGTCTGCGCCACCAGGGAGGCCCACTCTGAGGTCTATCCAGTGAATATTATTTTCAGAGCTCACTTTATCCCACATTAACCCAAAAAGAAAGGAGAGAAAATGAAACAGTGGGAACAATGATAACAACACATAAATAACTCACACTGACTACTGAAATGGATTTCAAGATGTGTGCGTATACAGAAATATAAATATTAAAATTTGCACAGAAACAATGAGTTCCCTCAAGTTCTCAACTTATATGTAAACCAGGTAGACAGTGCAAATGCCAAAGAGCATGTGGAATATTAAAATCATTCAGGAATGTTCATTTAACGTAGCCACAGAATCAAGGGACATATTACAGTCCATTCCAGCTATAAAATGACTATCCAGGCATTCGTATAAATCCATGAATGCATTTGTTATAGTTACAGACTGAAATTACATCACAATTGTGAATGTGTATGACACAGTGAGTAATTTATGAGTTGAGTGACACATTTAAAACTCAAACAGGTACAAAACATTCGTCAAATCTAACTTTCTAAAAAGATGATTCTCTATTGTTTAGTACTGGATATCACCACCCATTTCACACAATGCAGAATACTGCTCAATGTGCTATCCCAGCACATATCTGGCAGTTTTTTACACTGTCTTATTCTTGCATAAAGGCTTTTAAGGCTCCCAAAATAAAAGCACCTAAATATACAAATATATTTTTAAAGATATCTACAAAATACTGTTATCTAGGTATCAAAACTGAATTGCATTGTATTAGGATTTCTGATATTTTCAATATTTAAAGTAGTTCAATAGTGAAGTTCATCTTTAGGAAGTATAGAGAAAAGTAATTTTTCTTTAGTCCAAGATATTGTTAAACTCATAGAGCATACATAGAGTAAACATTAATACTTAACTTCCCCCAAAGTTAAAACTTTTATAGAATGTTTATAAAGCTCTAAAACAGGTGATTTTAGCCTACCAGCAAGAAGCTTGGCTTTCTCTAATTTTTAAGCAGCCAAAATATTGCTACTGAGGCACTATTCAATTTCTTGAGAGTTTATGTCAAAGACCTATATCTACTTCTTGGTAAATGTCTGTCATCCTCTCCATTCCTAGACATACTACCATTCCAAACAATGTGCAAATAACTGTTTAGGAAAATTGAGATGCTCACTCTAGCTAGCTATTTACTTGCTGAATAAAATAAACCAAAAACATCTCAAAATTTTCTACAGGCTATGCAGAAGAGAGGGAAGGATGATTTTTTAAGAGCCATGCAACTAAGAGATGGAGTTCATTCAGGGAATATACTACTACTGTAAGTTAAAACATATTATACCTTTTTTAGGGCTCTTTGTAAATCACCATAGAAGTTGATTAAAGTGCTTGCCATAGCTGTATCTACTGCAGACTGGGGAATCATTCCACGCAGCTCTGTCTGAATATAGCCTGTCAAAAGACTCCGGCTTGGACTCTCTTTAAGAGGAACACAAAACCAACCACAGGGATGGTTATATCCACGAACAAATTCAGATCTCTTTTCACTCCAGTCAAGACTTATCCCTACAAGTCAATTAAAAAAACAAACAAACATTATTAATAGCAATGACTGACATTAATCTAAAACTCTCATTAAAAGTATTATCAGATTGCTTATTTAAACATTCTTATCCATGTAGATAAAAATTAAGCCCCAAGAGTGACTGTGGAAGAATGAAAAAGATAATTACCAAGTAGAATTCTGACAGAGCCTGGTAGATGTGTAACAGGGAAAGTTCTAACCCCTTCAGAATAAACAGCATGTCATCTTGGTAACTCCCTGGAAAACATGAACCTTCCTGCCATGGTGGGGCCCAGGTACCAAGAATCAAACCTGTGGTGCGGCCCTTGCTCCACAGGCTGGGAGCAACCTGGCTCTGATGACTAAGAGCAAACAGGTAGATGTGTACCTAAAACTGCCAACTCAAATATACACTGTACATACAAAAACATTAATTTACCTACAGATATATTTTCAAAAGCATGAGCCTTCTAACAGTATTTTTAATTTTGAAAAGAAAACTACTACACAGATCAAGGAAGGAAAAATATTCTAGCACATGCCGAGCATATTTTTTTAGAGTATATGACCAAGAAGCTATTTCTTGAGAGCGACTTAGAAGGAAATCCACTGACGAGACCCATTTATTAGAGGTAGTCATGTGACCCACATTCGTTAGCTGTGACATGAAGGATACTATGTAATGGGGAACAAAAACTCATCAGAAAGACTGCAGACCCTTCTTGGTATCATTGCTTTCATCCCTAAGGTTTAGCATTTGCAAACCAAGCTTACTGATTATAAAACAACCATGACGGTTGAAAATATATCTTGTGTGGAAATATCCAGCCTAGAAAACTCAAAATTTAAAACAAACTGAGAGAAAGTAAGAGGTTTTGAGACATTTACCACAGGATAAAAGCCCTTCTTTATAGTCCACAGTATAGGAGAAGTCAACAAACTCTCTTGGGGAGATTATATTCCAAAGCTGACCTGCAGTTGTATAACGCATAACACAGCAATTCTGAAAGAGAACAGGAAACAGCTGTTAGTATTACAGGAAACACAGACATAGGCTCACATAAGTTAACCTGTAGTAAAACATTAACACTCACTTAAAATGTGTTATAATGATTACTAACAACATTTCTTACAGTGATTCTGACAGATTTAGAAATCTATTCTATATCTCACTGTTCTATATGAACATGTGCAGGATATACAATCAAAGTACAGAGGTAAGTTACCCAGAATCCAAATCTCTCTTTCAAAACAGTCACCTCATATCCTATATGATAAGTGGAAGCAGGCAGTGTAGACTGCAGATGTGTAAGATAAAATCCACAAATACTTTGATTAAAATAAACATGGCAAGAAATGAATTAATAAAACAGAAAAAGCCACTCTGGTTACATAATTCTTTAATACCAAAGGTGGCATTTTTATCTTTGATTCTGGCTTAATATTAATGGAAAACCTGCATACTATTACCTAGAAAACTGAATGTGATGGTGGTATTTTCAGAATTTTAGATTTCAGAACCTCAAAGCTCTACAATTAAAGACACAATTTTCTTAAGCAGAAAGGATAAGCTATTTCAAAAAACAAACTCAGTTCTGACTAACGCTCGTTAGAGATATTTGCCATGACTACTTAGTCTCAAAGCAATGAATATAATAGTGAATACAAGTGTGTATAGGCATTCACATGCACTTGAGCACTCGCGCGCACAGTTTCACACACGACACACACACACACAATCTGAAGTAAGGTTTCAAAACAAATACCTCCTCGAAGTTCTCCAAAATATCCAAAGAGACCATTAAGCTGTCCCAATCCAAGCGGCAGGGGCCTGGGCGTATGTGGTCTATTACACTGTTGGCAACATCGTCTATCACACCTTGGGCTTTGAAACTGGAGAAAAAATATTACAGTCAAATGCTACTGGAATGAAAAATTTCAGTATGCTCTCATAGTTCAGAGTTCACGTCAAAAAAAGCAAAATTTAGTGAAGATTTTTTGAAAAGAGTAAATCCTTACAACTTGTCTGATAAATTAGGTTCTATCAATTATTTCATCAGAATGTACTCTAAAAGGTCCTCAGATCTAACAGGAGATCTGACGGCTATCTTCTGCATTATCATGATCACAGTAAGTACGTTCATGTTATGGAGTAGCCAAGAATAGTCTGCAGAACACCGTAATGCTCCATTACTTTCAAGGTGGTTCTTTTCTCAGATATGCTCTAACATGGTACTAGCATATGCATGTTTTAGCCTGACTTTCAAAAACTTTTTATTAGGAATAGAAAAATAGGTCATCCAGGAATAGAACATCCAGGATTGACTCATGAATAATAGCAGAACTTAACATATTTCAAAGGTGGCATTCCATATCAGTAGGAAAGAGATGTACTATTTCATAAATGGTGTATGGGTTCAATAGTTATCCTAACAGAGAAAATAAGTCTGAATTCTTGCTTCACATCAGTCAAGACAATTCCAGATAGACTAAATACCACTATATAAAAGGTAAAATTTTTAAACTTTGAGAAAATTATGTAAGTTATGATCCTTGTAACCTCAGGATACAGGAAGATTATTTGAATACATAAAACAGAAATAACAAGATGATTAAAACTTGCATACCACAAATGACAAAATAAGTAATTTCTTTAAAAACTAGTCACAGACTGGAAGAATATAAATGTAACACATATATATTTAGATGCTGCTTCTTAGTTGCTCAGCTGTGTCCAACTCTTTGTGACCCTAAGGACTGTAGCCTGCCAGGCTCCTCTGTCCACGGGATTATCCAGGCAAGAATACTGGAGTGGATTGCCATTTCCTTCTCCAGGGGATCTTCCCGACCCAGGGATTGAACCTGGGTCTACTGCACTGCAGACAGATTCTTTACCATCTGAGCCACCAGGGAAGCCCATAACAGGTGGTACTAGTGGTAAAGAGCCTGTCACCCAATGCTTTAGAGAGCAAGGTTTGATCCCTGGGTCGGGAAGATCCCCTAGAGCAGGGCACAGCAACCCATTCCAGTGTTCTTGCCAGGAGAATCCCATGGACTGAGGAGACTGGTGGGCTATAGTCCATAAGGTTGCAAAGAGTTGGACATGACTGAAGTGACTTAGCATAGCACAGCACATCCTTATTATAGAAGATATATGGTTCAGTTCAGTTCAGTCGCTTGGTCATGTCCGACTCTTTGCGACCCTATGGACTGCAGCACGCCAGGCCTCCCTGTCCATCACCAACTCCCAGAGTTTACTCAAACTCATGTCCATCGAGTCAGTGATGCCATCCAACCATCTCATCCTCTGTCATCCCCTTTTCCTCCTGCCCTCAATCTTTCCCAGCATCAGGGTCTTTTCCAACAAGTCAGCTCTTTGCATCAGGTGGCCAAAGTATTGGAGTTTCAGCTTCAATATCAGTCCTTCCAATGAACACCCAGGACTGATCTCCTTTAGGATGGACTGGTTGGATCTCCTCACAGTCCAAGGGACTCTCAAGCGTCTTCCCCAACGCCACAGTTCAAAAGCATCAATTCTTCGGCGCTCACCTTTCTTTATAGTCCAACTCTCACATCCATACATGACCACTAGAAAAACCATAGCCTTGACTAGATGGACCTTTGTGGGCAACGTAATGTCTCTGCTTTTTAATATGCTGTCTAGGTTGGTCATAACTTTCCTTCCAAGGAGTAAGCATCCTTTAACTTCATGGCTGCAATCACCATCTGCAGTGATTCTGGAGCCCCCCAAAATAAAGTCAGCCACTGTTTCCACTGTTTCCCCATCTATTTGCCATGAAGTGATGGGACCAGATGCCATGATCTTAGTTTTCTGAATGTTCAGCTTTAAGCCAACTTTTTCACTCTCCTCTTTCACTTTCATCAAGAGGCTCTTTAGTTCTACTTCACTTTCTGCCATAACGGTGGTGTCATCTGCATATCTGAGGTTATTGATATTTCTCCTAGGAATCTTGATTCCAACTTGTGCTTCGTCCAGCCCAGTGTTTCTCATGATGTACTCTGCATATAAGTTAAATAAGCAGGGTGACAATATACAGCCTTGACGTACTCCTTTTCCTATTTGGAACCAGTCTGTTGTTCCATGTCCAGGTCTAACTGTTGCTTCCTGACCTGCATATAGATTTCTCAAGAGGCAAGTCAGGTGGTCTGGTATTCCCGTCTCTTTCAGAATTTTCCACAGCTTATTGTGAGCCACACAATATGTCAAAGGCTCTGGCACAGTCAATAAAGCAGAAATAGATGTTTCTCTGGAACTCTCTTGCTTTTTTGATGATCCAGCAGATGTTGGCAATTTAATCTCTGGTTCCTCTGCCTTTTCTAAAACCAGCTTGAACATCTAGAAGTTCATGGTTCACATATTGCTGAAGCCTGGCTTGGAGAATTTTAAGCATTACATTACTAGTGTGTGAGATGAGTGCAATTGTGCAGTAGTTTGAGCATTCTTCGGGATTGCATTTCTTTGGGACTGAAATGAAAACTGACCTTTTCCAGTCCTGTGGCCACTGTTGAGTTTTCCAAATTTGCCGGCATATTGAATGCAGTACTTTCACAGCATCATCTTTCAGGATTTGAAATAGCTCAACTGCAATTCCATCACCTCCACTAGCTTTGTTCGTAGTGATGCTTCCTAAGGCCCACTTGACTTCACATTCCAGGATGTCTGGCTCTACGTGAGTGATCACACCATTGTGATTATCTGGGTCGTGAAGATCTTTTTTGTACAGTTCTTCTCTGTATTCTTGCCACCTCTTCTTACTATCTTCTGCTTCTGTGAGATCCCTACCATTTCTGCCCTATGTGGAGCCCATCTTTGCATGAAATCAGTTTGCAAATATCTCAAGCTCAAGCCTATATTATCCCCCATCCTAAATCTGCTCTTTTGCCAAGGCTCTCTAACTTGGGTTGAGGGTAGAGGGTAGGGGTGGGTAATACAATTTAATTCAGGCACCCAAATTAGAAATCTGAGATTCAACTTCAACACTTCTTTTTCTCTTAACCCCATTCCAACAGTCAGAACTAGAAAGTCACCATGTTTTATGAAGATGACTTTCTAAACATCAAGTGCACAGAACAATATGTGGGTTTCAACAGCTATTAGTTATCATCACCACTGTCATCATTACACCACCATCACCATCAAATCTCTTTCAAGTTCATTTGTCCTTTTCAGCTCCTCTGCTGTATCCTTCATTTGGGAACTCTGTGTCCAACTCAATACTGCGTCAGTTTCTAGCTCTTCTGATCATATAACTCTTAAGAATCTGAAAAAAGGCACAGATCTCTTCCCAGGAATGCACACATTGTCACAAAACTTTGTATACAATCATAGGGACACTTTAAGAAGCCAGCCATGGTCTCCCAGGATACAAATTCTTCTCTAAACTTCCCATGCTTATTTCTGTCTCTCACAACTGTTACCATAATAAATGCAAAATCTTCTGAGAACCTGGGAGGGTTTGGTTGAGCAGAGGATAAATACAAAACCTAACTCTTTGGTTTTGAATCCAAAAGTTGTTCAGACGTGCTCTCCTCACTCCCATTCTTTATGTTCCAACTATATAAACACAACTTGAACTTCTGTAAAAAAAAAGTCAGTCGCCCAGTCGTGTTTGACTCTTTGTGACCCGTGGATTGTAGCCCACCAGGCTCCTCTGTCCATGGAGTTCTCCAGTCAAGAATACAGGAGTAGGTTGCCATTCTCTTCTCCAGGGGATCTTCCTGACCCAGGGATCACACCCAAGTCTCCTGCATTGCAGGCAGACTCTCTACTGTCTGAGACACCAGGGGAGCCTAAATTCTGTAAACACACTCTCTTAGTGTTTCCCATCTACCTGGAAGACATCTGTGTTAATGTGGTAAGTGCAGTTCTCTCTGCCTGGAATAAGAATCTGTCCTCATTCCATAATAAACACCTGTCTGTTCTTTCTAACTCAGCCCAGGTATTAGCTCTTCTGTGAGGTTTTTTAATCACTGAGCACAGTGCCCCCAGGCACTTTTAAACTTTTTCAGCCCCTGCTGCCAATTACTGATCTAAAGAATTAATGTCCACACTTGCTTAACAATGTTTAATTCAACTCTAGTGTCCCTGTCCTTCTCAGAAATACTGTACAACTTACCTTCCTTGAAATGCTATCTTTGGTAATACACTTCAAAACATTCTATATATAGAAAGTGTGGTCAATAGTTTCATTTTAAAAAGTGCCAAGCCCCCAGAATATGAATATCCCACTCCAATTACACAAGGCACCTATTTGCACTGGCTTTAAAAAACAGCATTTTTTTTTTTTACTGGTTAAAGACATAATTCATACTCTACTATATGCAAAAAATAAATAAACAAAAATCACACATAAAACTGCCATCTATAGGTACATATTTTTGTGTTAAATAAAACCATTTTAATATAAAAATATAGTTAAAGTCAACCTATGACTATGCTACAGTTTAGTACTCTGCTTTATTCACTTTTCATTTAGCATTTTTTATGTTTTTAAATAATATCTGAAAATATGGTTTCTAAAGATTGTAAAATAGCACATTTTATAATTAAATCATTCCTCAACTATTGATTATTCAGGTTGTTTATAATTTTTAATTTTTTAAGTAATGTGACAGAAGAGACAAGTACTTAAATAATTATTAACTTCCAATGATTTCTTCAAGAAAATTCTTAGAGCAAAATATGCTACAGTACTGAATAAATGCAGAAGGAATATTAGAAGTATCTTATATAGCACAGTAAGAAATTAAGATTTTATCAGCTATACCATCATTAATGATTCCCAAAACCACCAACTCTATTCACCAGGGACACAGGCATTTTAAAAGCTTTGAATGCATAACATGATTTTCTTCTCAGAAAGTTTAAAATCTTAAAAGAAAAAACCAAGCTTTACTGGCAATGATCATTTAGTGATCATGAGTATATGTGTATATACATTTGAAGTTTAACAGTATCTTAAGAGCTATGTAAAACTACAAGAATTACTTACAGATATCCATTAAATTCTTCTGAAGGTTTCCTCCAAATTGTTACATCTTTCTATAAAAATAAAAACAGTGTATAGTGATAATTACATAGGTGGCAACCTGGATATAAAACTGACAATTTCATAAAGTCTACAGCATTAGCTTTTGCCTGAAAATAAAACATAAGTAAACATTCAAAGAAATACATACAAGTCACTCATACCATCAAATAATCCATATCTGTATTTTTTCTGTATCCTAAAGTACTACACATCTTACTTAAATTACAGACCTTTAGAAAAAGGTTTTTCAGTAGCTTAAAGACAAGACACCCAAACACTAAGATCTGGTGATGGAACTCTCATTGGCCATTATTTGCATAATTACAATCTCATCTATCTACCATTACTGAAGAATTTAGTCTAAGATAATAGGAATCTTAAATATTTAATTCTGAATTTGCTCATGTATCTTTTTAAAATTAAGCAGTTCACATCTATTATGACAGTACTACCCTGAATCAGTCCCGACAGTTTTTTCCAGATCATCTCTTAAGAAATTCTGAATATCAGAATAACTAAAGCACTTAACTGGAAGAGTCCTGGTTTCTAGGGTTGGCTCTGTCAACACCCAACTATGTGATGGTTTGGGTAAGTCATACTGGTGAAAAAAAGAACACTAATGGACCATCCTCGCAGGCTTGTTAAAATATCTGAAATGATTTCAAGCTATCAATTACTATACTTTCTTCAATTAACGATGACATGTTTTATTTATTGACCTGAGAGGCTGCTCTTTACAGTCTTGTTGCCATGAGTCTATTCTTGTGTCCATTATCTGAAGAACTAATGACAGTAGTTTGGGACTGCTGCTCCTCCTCTGTGAGCTATTAAACCACCAGCTGTGCCGACACATTTATCTATCCTGCACATTCATCTAAAGTGTGGTCCATATTTTTCCATACCATTTTGAAAGTCACCCAGCAGTTCATCAGAAGATACATCCCAAACACAAATAATTTAATTAATTTACCGTCTTCTTAGCAACTCGCCACTTTTCATCTTCAAGGTTGTGGTACTGGATAAGAGTATTTTTAAGTCGAGTCGCCAAAACAGCTACATCAGGCAGGGCTTCCATTTGTTTTTCCTGTTACAGAGACTAAAATTATCATCAGCAAATACCAGAGTTAGATCCAGCAGATGAGGGGGAGAGGTCTCAAATCTGATGTCATGCTCAGGCCTGGTGCACTGGGAAGACCCAGAGGAATTGGGTGGAGAGGGAGGTGGGAGGGGGGATCGGGATGGGGAATACATGTAAATCTGTGGCTGATTCATGTCAATGTATGACAAAAACCACTACAATATTGTAAAGTAATTAGCCTCCAACTAATAAAAATAAATTAAAAAAAAAAAAAACCAAACAAACCCTCCGGGAGCTATAGAGATACCTACACCTGGACCCCACCCCAAGTCAGTAATCAGAATCCTTGCACACGGCTCTTTCCTCAAAGCTTCCAGGATGTGGAACACAAAGGGACAAGAATCACAGATCTTGTGTTATTAAAATCCTCATATAAAGAAGAAGATACAATCCTATTTCCCTTGCTAACAGAATTGAACTAAAAGGAATAAATTAAAAACTTAAAAAAAAAAAACTGTTCTTTCCAAAATACAAAAATAACACACAAGGCATAAACTCTTGTAAAAGTCCTTAGAGTTTTAGCAATTGAAAATTTTCATTTTACTATCATAGCACTCATTCTAGCAAATAAATGACAACCACAATTGGAAATCTCTTACATCCTTTAAGAATAGGGCTGGTGGTGGGGGACAGGGGGGAGATAGGCCTAGAGACCTCTAAAGAATTTCAAAAGTTTCAAGAATTTTACTGACTTCAATATTTTATTTGATGAAGTGTCATGCAATTCAGTGAGGTATCTGTGTAACAAAAGAGGTGATATGAAGATCTCTGAGCTACCAGTACAGCATAAATAAGTGGTTTATAGTTATAAGGCAATAATTTAACTATATAAAGAGGAATGCATTTTATGATTAATAGTTGCAAAGATAAGCTATCGTTCAGCAATACTTTGAAAGGGAAATGATAGCTAAACTTGAAAGAAAATAATATGAGGGATTCTATAACGCAATCATTTTAGAACATTGCTGCAGAGTCTCTGATGAGTCTGTGACCCTGCATAAGTTCCGCAGCTGGGTTAGAGAAGGCCATGCAATATCTGGATGTCTCTGAGGATGGTCACTCCAGGAGCCTCTGATCAACAAGCAGCACACAGGAATGCGCTTACCCTGAGGCTGCTGTGTGGAAAGGACCAAGTGGAAAGAAGAGGAAGGGAGGGGAAAAAACAGACAGACAGACAGACACACACACACACAGATGCAAAGTCCCAGCTCCAAAAGCCTATTTACAGCTTCATGCCTAATCGGCATCTCTTGATTCTCTAGGCTTCCTTCAACTTGCCTCAGTCTTACTTGTCTTAACAATTTTACTATTAAAATGACAATTGAGCCAGCTGCTCAAGATTAAAAGCCTTAGAATCACCCCCATAGATATCAGGAGGTTCACCACACACCACTGCCTACAATGCTCCCCTCTTCCTGTCCCTTAGGTAAGTCCAGCTCGTTGCTGACTCTGGGCCTTTGTACTCTCCATTACTTCTCTGCCTGGATTACTAGATCCCAAACCTGAGCATGACTAGTAACAGCTTGTAGTAACAATTTCAGTTTAAACCTCCTGTCCTTGACACAACATTCCCCAAATCACTATGATACCCTTCTTTTATTTTCTGCATAGTGTATCACTATGTGAAACTAACTTGTTTATTTATTGATATACTATATTCTGGGTTTCCCAGGTGGCTCAGTGGTAAAGAATCCACCTGCCAATGCAGGAGACACAAGAGACCTGAGTTTGATCCCTGTGTCGGGAAGATCCCCTGGAGTAGGAAGTGGCAACCCACTCTAGTATTCTTGCCTGCGAAATCCCATGGACAGAGGAGCCTGGCATGTGACCATGGGGTCACAAAGAATCAGACACGACTGAACACCCACACACTATACTCTACTCTTTGACTACCATGTCCCTTACTAATAAGAGGGGTGGTCCCATGTCTGCTTTTTAACTACTATATCCCCACCAACTAGAACACTGTCTGAAACACAGCAGGCCCTTAATATTTATTGAAGTGTATTTGCTTCAGAACATGAATTATTTGTTCTTAACTTCTCTGCTTTTGGTGCCATGGTACTCTCCAGTAAAAGGCTAAGGAAGAAAAGGCTTTGGAGAAAGCTGTCCATTTACAAACCACAAAGTTACTGCTAGAAAGGAGATCAAGAAAAGACCTAAATGAAATATCAAGGCTCACACCTCTGTGGGAATAAGGATGCAGTTCTCACCACAGGTGCACACATCAGAATTACCTTGCTATAATTTGCAGTAGTTGTTGATGTTGACAAAGACTCTCTCCTTGGTCAGGCTCCTCTGAGTCCTCTTTGTGACGAGGCCTAGCCCTTGGGAAGCTGGTGGCTCAGCAGTAAAGAATCCACCTGCAATGCAGGAGCTGTAAGAGATGCAGGTTTGATCCCTGGGTCAGGAAGATCGCCTGGAGGAGGGCATGGCAACCCCTCCAGTTTTCTTGACTGGAGAATCCCATGGACTGAGAAGCCTGGCAACTACAGTTCACAGGGCTGCAAAGAGTCAGACATGACTGGGCAGCACACAGCCAGCTCCTGGGCTTGTCATTGGAACCCATAGTCCAGTTTCCACAAGAGTCCTGCTGAGTCAGTTTAATGAAATCCCCTACCCTCGAACCTCCTTATCCCACCTTCAATCTTATCACCCCAGCCTGCCTTTAGCAAGAACCCTGTCAAGTTGCTTTAGGGCAACAGCCCTTAGTGATTTTTCATTCACTGACACCCACCTTGCTCCCTGGCTATCCACCCCCATTTGCCCTTGTTGTATTCAGAATGAAGCCTAGTTCCATCCCAAGGTTTCTTTTCCACTATTGCAATAGTCACTGAATAAGATTTGCCTTTACCACTTTAATGTGTGCCTGCCTCTGGTTTTCTGTGACACTGATTTTGGATATTAGATTTCATGGACCACACCTAGACAGTCTGATTCAGTGGGTCTGTTCTGGAACAGGCCCCAGAAAACTAGGTCCTTTAAAAAGCCTCACTGATTATTCTGTTATGCAGTCAGGAGTGACAACCATTAATCTGAAAACTAAAGTGACAAAAGTAAATCAGTGATATAGGCAATATTTAAACAGCACAAACCATAAAAGCCATTAAACATGATAAAACATGAAAATGATACAGAAGTTCAGGAAAGGAAAAAAAGCTTCTCTATTCTCTGATGATCTATTCTGAGATCTGCAAATTAAACTTACAAAAGATAAACAGAAAAACATGCAAACAAAATGTACTTGATGTCAATATTTAATTTCTATGTGCAAAGAGAAGCAATTACATGTGGAGTTTATACACCATTTTAAAAAAGGGTGATAAACTGTGGAAAAATGACAAGACAAGGGAAAGGAGGTTTGAGCTTCTAGGGGTGGTAAATTATGGCAAAAATAAATATATGAGGAAGAATAATAAAAGATAAAGGCTATTTTAGTAAAGTTTGACTGTGTAGACCATCTCAGTCCCAAATTTCTGTCTCCAATGATAGCAGTTATTCTCCTGGTACAGGAGAGAAGTCAGACCTTCACAAAAGGAAATTTATGTCCTACTTTTAGGCAGATAGTGAAAGGAAAAATAGTTTTTTCTGCTTTTGCTGCTTCTTAATTGCCTTCAGCTCAAAGTAACCTTTTTTTTGAAGTGGCCTATTTTGGGGTGGCATATACCTTCAGAGGGCTTCCGTAGTGGCTCAGTGGGTAAAGAATCCACCTGCAATGCAGGAGACTTGGGTTTGATCCCTGGGTTGGGAAGATCCCCTGGAGAAGGGAAAGGCTACCCACTCCAGTATTCTTGCCTGGAGAAGCCCCATGGGCAGAGGAGCCTGGCGGGCTACAGTTCACGGGATCTCAAAGAGTCGGACACGACTGAGCGACTAAGCACAGCACATCCCTTCAGAAACATGGAAAAGTATATACAGAAAATTCAATAATATAAAACTTAGGATCTATGAAAATGTGCAAAATATTTAATAATTATAGATCCTAACCAAAGACTAAAAGTGGATGAGCTCATTCAAAAAGTCTGTGAGTCAGGATTAGATCCTCTTTCCACTCAAGAGACTGCCAACTTGACAGCCAGTACGATGACCTTATTAAAGCATATGTTATAAACAAACACAAGTTCTCGAGAGGACTTACAAAGGAAATTTAACTTATCTATTACTGGGATCATGCTGATTAAACAATATTCTTTAAATCCAAGGGTCACCTACCAGATTTCTGTGTCTGGCAGATAAATGTATTTTCAAAACTCTTTGATAGAAATCAAAGGTGAAGTGGAAAGCTACTGTTAGCATAAGCCATACTGTATTTATGCAAATCTAGCACACAAAAAGTAAGCAATAAAAAAACTACCTATAAAGATGAGAATCTGAATTTTTACGGTGTTTACGTTAGTTACTGTTCACTCCTGCTGGATAATATAAAGTTCACATTCCTTAATGTGGCTTATGGGTCAGTTTCCAAGCCCACTGCCTAATCTCTACTCTTCTCTCCTGGATACCCCCTTAAGACTACATCAGCTCCCCCTTGATGTGAAAAACTCCTGTTAACGGGCCTCTTTAGGTGTGGCCGAGTAGGAGGTAGAAAAGGAAGAAAAGAAAGTTTTAGTATAAATTTGGAAATCTCTCTTTTAGTCTCATGAAGTATTTACCCAGGCAGTTAACTCTTGCATGGATTTCCTTCATCAAGATTAAGTTCAAAAGGGAGTAACAGCTACTTTCTAAACTGATATTTGTGTGTGGACAGGCAAAACAGAGCATCTCTCATGGACCAATGTGGGGTGGGGGTGGGGGAACAACACTGGGCTTATCAAGGTCCTGAGGCTTTCCTAACATAAGAGGACATTCACATTAATTGAAAAGAAAACCCACAATATGCCCTATTCCAATCTCTGCCTGTGGAGAATGTCAGGAAATGTTTTGAATACCATTCTGAA